GAATGTGTCACATCTAGTGAATTTAGCTGTCGGGTAAAACTTCAAAATCGATTATCTCGGTAATTTATGAACGTTGCGTCGAACTACTTCGGAAAATTCTTATTCAAGGTCCAAACTACACGTACCATAAATATCAAAAATTACAAAAATCCGACTACCTTACCTTCTCCTTGTTAGCCATGAATCTTGGACCTACCCTTGTAGTTCTCAGGCTGGAATCTGTGAAGACAAACTCGCTATCAGAACCCTTAAGGGAGAACGCATTAGGCGGTCGTGGTCCCGTCGCATCGCGGACAGTTCAGGGCTGAGCTGATTACGGTCTTTTATTACAAAATCAGTAACATTTGACAATTGCACTCTCCTTTAAATAGTTGCAGTATTGTTTTAGTATTGAAAATGAATTCTATGGAAGAGGTGTTTTTATCGGCGGAAAAACATATTTAGGGGTGAAATACACTCCAAATTCGCCCCCAAAAACAGTTTTTTCTAAATATCTGGGGTTCTAAAGGGTATTTTCGAAAGAAGCAAAGTGGAAATTACTTCTTATAAAAAACAAATGTTTCACAAGTGATTCCGTGTTTGGGGGTTGCTACCCTTATTTTTTGTTTCGGAAAAAATTTATTTTTCAAACAAAATGGAAATTATTTCTATTGAACTGAATGAAAAGGTAAAGGATAGAAGCAAGTGTAGAGATTCGAAGAGTACAAAAATATTCTTAAGCTAAAAATATTAGATTGGAAATTTTTCACCTCGATGATCTAGCAATGATGAGTATACACTAGCACGGTCCGCTATGCGACGGGAACGCGTTCTTTCCTTTAGGCCCACCCCGATGTGCGTTTTGGTCTCTGTTGGTTCTAAGGCTGCTACTAACACAACCATACCTCAAACAATTGTGGTTCTCTGTAATTGTTGGCATTCAATGCTTTCAAACTGTTCTTCACTGTCAGCATCTTTAGTGATGACTGCAAAAGCTTCGTAGTAAATGAACTCATTTGCAGTGGCTGTACGTGAACATTGATTGAATGTGTTCTGCTTAGGGTTGTTACATTTGTTGAATTGAATTCCGGGATATTATTAAGTGCCCGGAGAGTCTCTAAATGGCGCCGCAGGTGAAAAATTTTAAAATTTTCAAGGTCACGCATTTTCCTGGCACTTCTGAATTTCAAGGAACAATCCATTTATACAAAAATACATATTTTCACAAGAACGATTTTTGAAATTGATACCTTTTTGAAATATCTGTACGAATTACCTACTAACGGTATAAATAAATTGGAATAAACTAAATATACTTTATCAAATTATTGAATGTTGTTTATAAACAAAAAAATCGTACATATATTATATTCTGGGAGTTATACGTGCAAATCTGAAATCCGGGATGATACAGCTAATTCCCGGTTACAATCACAGAAAATCCCGGTCATGCCCATGTGGCTAGATGTTCTTTTAATATGTCGTCAAGATCTGCACTAAAATTTATGAGTCCACGAAACACATCAGGGTTGTCCAAATTTTCTGTCTCGTCGTGTCCGCGAAGCGCTAATTCGAAAGCTCCACAAAATTTTATGCAGTCTATGATTTTAGATAATACCTAACGATTTTTCGTTACCTGTTCATTGTGTTTCCGTATATTATCCCAATATGCAGAATCTAACTGACTTCTTATGTTTATTTTACCTAATGACTTAAATCTATCACACCGTATATTGTCCATGCTTTATCCCCACCGAAAAGTAAGCACCGAAAACAAAACAGTATTTTTTATATCACTCCCGCACACCCACTCTGCTTTTTTGTATACATTATTGTTAAATTGTCTTTTATAACTTTTACGTCGGCTTGTTCCACTAACTTCAATATTTAATTGTGGTGTTGGCCCACCTAATTCTTTCATTTTTAGTTTATCCTCATCATAAGGCAGATAACCAAATAAAGTTTTTTGTAAAAACGAAACGCTATTCATTTCAATAACTATAATATCGGCAGACGCCTAAACTCCTAAACGAATATTCACACGTGCCGCTCGCAAAAATAGACCACCACATACCACATACGAAACGTTACTGCATTTACTGCAGCAGTGGTAGTGGCTGTCGCTGTTGCAGCCACATAAACCCATATATTCGTGTGCTGGGTCACGAGCCTGATTGGCCAATAAAAACAAAGGACACATCTAACTGTTCGCTGTGCACACATTTTGTAGGTTGCATATATTGAGGAGCGTAGCTCGCGTCGTAATAAATAATAATATAAGCTCCTAGATTTATTTTAGCGCGATTACATTTGAATTCTTTAAATATTTTGTTGATATTTAATATGATTAAATAACGAGCGTTCAAATAAAAACGTGGTCGAAGTTGGCTCTGACACATTGCTTAATAAAGGCAGGTAGATTTTGCTCGTTGCAATCACTTCACCTCACAAACAAACACGTCTGCTCAGCTCGACTGTTCGCTCTGAACTGAGAAGTAGTGCATCTTGAGGATTCGTTATGTGGGGAAACCCTGAAGTTAATCTATGGCTGTAAAATATTTTAAATATTTAAATGTCGTAACTAGTCCAATATTTGTACGATGTTAGGTAAAGGATACGAATTGATAATTATGTCATTTATTTTCCTATAATCAATAACAATACGTTATTTCTTTTCTTGCGACTCATCAGATTTCTTTGGAATAACTCGAAGGGACTTCCATGATGGAGAAGTTGAAGACACAACTATATTTGAATGAAACTTTTTTTATTTGATTTCCGACTTCTTGTGGACCTCTACGATTTTATATTTAGGTATAGGAACATTTGAATTTGCAGGAATTTCTTTTATTTTTAGAAGTTTACAAAAGTATCGATTGAATTAAAGCAGAAATATACAATAATCTCAAAATTATGAGTTACATAACATGAGTTACCTCTGGATAAACAATGAATTTGATCCATATTTATAAGCTTAGCAGAATAAAGAAGGGTTGCAAAGTCAGCATTTAAACAGGGCTGATAACTCGTCCACCCGTAGATGATGAGAACTTCAAAACCTCGACAATTATGGGATCCATTTCTTCGGATTGAACCTGGACTTTCTTTTTCAGAGAGCGTGCCCGAAAAAAGTAAAGTTACACTATTTGCTCTAACTCTAAAGGGAACAGGCAATTTAGAAATTCACCAAAATTTTGTTTAAACTGCGGCGTAGAAATATTTAAGAAAAAGGGGTTCAGCTTCCCCATATCTGCGCACCTGGATTACACTTTTAATCATGGAAGGCTTTAGGTTGTGAGGGGCATGTAGTGTAGTATTTGTACAAAATTTGAGTTTATTCCTTTCTACCGTTTTCAAAATATTTGAAAAATTTTTTTTCGACTTCAACTTCCTGGAAGCACCTTAGGCAAAAATTTTATATGACGTACCCCTACTAATTTTAAGTATTCTACCTACTGGCGAACTTTGTAACCTTATTTTTGTTATACCCTGTATATGGTGTGAAAATTCCATACATGGCAGAAAGAATATTAGAAAATAAATACCTTAAAATGATTGGATAATACAGGCACACACCAAAAAATCCGGATAAAAAGAAAAGATGTACTTAATACATAATACATACTTGCAAAAGACAGGGACGTACCCCAAGCCACTCCTACTCCACTCCACAAAGCCCCTTGATTCACTCTTACCACTGTATTGCGCATGCTTAGATGCATTCTCACTAATACCGACGCATTAAGACTGGTGACGAGGTCGCAAGCAGTCTTGGTTGCAGCAAAGCATTTGTACGGTTATCATTTAAGATGCTGGCAGTGAAGAGGGGCATAACGTTTAGAAATATTGGATGTGACCAGTTACAGAAGCAACTAAGGGATGTCTCAGCGGATCGCCATTGTCTGAGGAGCAGTTACGACCACAACGGTATTAATATCAACAAGAACCAAAATGAACACACATATCGCAAAGAATATTACAGAATAATACCCTAAAATTATAATACAGACACACAGGCCAAAAAATCAGTACAATATTACATTTGGAACATTGTAATTAAATTATGTAAAAATCAAAGAAAAAACAAGTAATGTAGCTGGGTTTGGGAATATAGATAAAATATCAGACAAAATGTTATTATATTATACATATAAGCTATTTCTCAAAATTTTAGATATTTCTAAAAAAATTAGACATGGGGACTTCCAGTTGATTATTAATTAATTAATCTGAATCTTCCACATCATTTTCTTCTGTTTTCTTTTTGGTATGAGGGAAACATTTAGTGACAACTTCCAAAATTTGATCAACTTGTTCTTCTGTCAGTCTTTCTTCGCTCTCCTCAATGACCTAAAACACAATAAAAAGTGATTTCATAAACTTAAATAGTGAGTTTTTAATGGAATACAGAAAAATTTTAGAACAATTTACAAACTCTCTTGCCATAAATTAAGGGCAACCTCCTCAGATTAAAATAAACAGATTTAAATTTTCAGTGTTGCGAGAAAAACTATTCCGTGGGCTACATGCCCCGACCGGCATTGGATTATACTCGCAACACCTAGATACAATAGCTAGGATTGTTTGTCAGTTTAACCCACCAGATATAGACTGGTTTCAGACTTGTTGATCCTCATCAGTATGTCATAGGTGAGACAACCGACGAACGATCCAGCTCAGCTCAGGAATAGGAGATGTGTATACACCGAGCATAAGTAGCTCCACCTATCGTGCTACTTCCCAACTACGCCATTCACTTTGGCTACTACTAGTAGGAAGTGACCTGTTAAAATTTGCCAGGTACTGCACGACCGTCGTCAACTGGGAGAAAACAAAATGTTTAAATTTCCAGTGTTGCAAGAAACAACTACTTCGCGGGCTACATGCCCTGACCGGCATTGGATTATACTCGCAACACCTAGTACAATATCTAGGACCATTCCTCAGTTCAACTTACCAGACATAGACCAGTTCTGGACTTATTTATTAGTCCTCATTAGTATGTCGTAGTTGAGATAACACTTGAAATTTAAACATTTTGTTTTCGCCAAGTTGGCGACGGTCCTGCAAATAAGCACCTGTCAAATTTTAGCAGGTCAGTTCCTATTAGTAGTAGCTATGGTGAATGGCGTAGTTGGGAAGTAGCACGATAGATGGAGCCATTTACACTCTGTGTATAAACTGATTTAAATTAAGTGACCGTAGTACAATTTTGATTTCATAAAAAGTTACAGACTACCAAATAATTTTATCTAATTATAGCAGTCTTGTTTTTTTGCCATTTTTTTTTTCTCCAAGAAATGTATATTTGTGACGTCGCTAAAATGCACATATAAAACTGGATATCAACTTTCATAGTTACGGACAACCATGTATAGTATTTGGGGGTATTATAGTGTAACTAAACTTCAATTTTCGTTTAAAATAAACTAACTGAAGTATGTTTTATGATTTAGACCAATTTATTTCCAGTTCAGTTAGTCCTAAAAACTACCTACCTAATTTTGTTACAAATTTAGAAAAGATGAAAAATGTTTCACAACAATTATGCATTTTAGCAACATACAACAAGTACACCTTTTTTACAGTAAATAAAGTGGTGTTTCAAAATCTCTATGAATCCGATATCAGATGGAGCAGGTGTTTTTGGATGTTAAGAAAATGGTAATAGGTATATGATTCCTGGTAGTTTTGAATACATAACAGAAGCAATTGAGGCCCATACATAAAATTCAAAACTAATATTTACAGTCTTACTTTGAAATAATTTTGAATATAAACTGATTCACTTTTTGAATGACAAAAATAATTTTTTGATCAATATGACTGATTTTATGTTATCTCTGAGTATAACCTTTTTACTTACCAATTGAATTTCCAGTGCTGTTGTTGGAGGAGAATTTATAATCATTAACTTTTCAGTCTTATTTAAATTGTATGGTGTCAAACCTTTTAGACATTCTTGAATATTTTCAAAAGTTTGATCTTTGCAAGTTGTATTTTCTAGGTAACGAATAGTCTACAAAATACGAGATAAAATTGACACATACTATACTGATGTTACTAATATGTTGTTACCTCATAAACTATTGTAGCAAGTTGTCCTTTATGTTTCTTTTTACTATCCTTAATTTTCTGCAAATGTTTTAATACTTCGAAATTGCTCAAAGTAGCACAGTTAGGATTTTCTCTGTAACACAAGAAAATATATTATTTATAGTGTTTATCACAATATTTGTATTATAAAAAGTTGTAATATAATTTCAAAAAATATGACAATAATTACAAGTACCACAAAAGAAGGCGAAAAGGATTATTATTTTATTTTAAAATTCTAACGTTGAACATAATATTCGGGCATAACTTATAATTGCAACTTAAAACTCATAAATGCTTTAAAGTTTTGAAGATGAAAGTCTGATTTTAAAGTAAGAATAACCTAACACACAATTTGTAAGATTGTTTCTTGAATTATTTTAATCCAAAACAACCATACCAACTAGCAATTTGCTGCTCAGTATCTAAGCTTAGATACTGAGGACCTTTTTTTTAGTAAAGATTATCCTATAAAAATGTAATTTATGTTTTTGCTATAAGTAGCCATTTATGAGAAAAATGCAAAAATCGATAAAAATGAACCTTAAAATTTCTGCTGAAACTGTTCAAGTCATATAGGTCCTACTATGGGCACTTTTGAAGTACAAAGATTTACGTGTTAAGCTATGGTTTGTTAGAGCTATAGGCGACGCAAAGCAGACAGTCAGTTGTGCGCGTCGGACTTACGTTGGAATCTAAAACACAGGTACATGAGTAACTGGTTTGTTAGACTCTGCTTAGGTGGACTCACAGTAGGCAGAAAATTATGTGCGTCGTCGGTTCAGTCGAAATCAAATTCGATTTGATTTCAACGCAGTCGTTCAGTTGAGCTCACATCGTTTATTTTTAACGAATTTTAAAATGGCAACTAAGTTTTCACCAGAGGAAGACGAGAAATTGATCGATCTCGTACGAGAACATCTCCCATTGTATACCTTCCAAATGTCTGTTAGAAAACATTCGATCTTCACTTTTATTTTGATGACGACAACAAATTAAATTCAAAAGATCTTCATGTTCTTTATCCTCAATAAGTATTGTCAGCAAAAAATATTCAGCCATTGTCATGATAAAAATAAATTTTGCCAAAATAATAAATATGTTCATCTGCATTTGCCAGCATACAGTTAGAAGCACTAAATCTAACAAAAGACCCCCCTTCAAAACCGATAAAGTTGAACGCTACAGATTCTGCTAACCGCGTAAGTCGTCTGCGACGCACAGTTCTAACAAGCCAAAGCTTAAAATGAATGGGACAATTTCAAAATCAAATAGCGAGTACACAAAATTAAGAGCTGAAATTTGGTAAGAATTTTTTTCCAATGTTTAGAATATTTCGTCAATTTAGCGAAAAAAAAATTTTTTTCAATCGAAGCATCCTAATACACAGGGTGTCCCGGACTTGATACAAAAAGAATCGAATACAAATAGATGAGGTCAAAACAATATCAGTTCTTCATATACATTTTTTTCATAAGGGCCTTCGTTAATAAGTTACGGTCCCTCAAAGGTGAAAATTAAAATTTTTATTTACAGTCTCTGAACTATTAACTTCAGCATGATGCAAATTTGGTGATCAATGACACATGCATATAGCTTGTTTTTGATGTTGCAAGTGAAACTTTATTATGCCCAGAACGCCAGTAACGTACTATTAAGCTATTGACTATGTCAAAAAAAAGAGAGATAAATAAATAATAGTATTCAATCACCTAGAAACTTATTTTAACTTTCACATTCACAAAAATAAATTTATTAGACAAAATAATACCGAAAGTAATTAAAATTTTATAAAAAGAAAAAAGTATCGTTGGTTAAATTGACATATCTCGGTTGATTTTAATTGTACAAACTTCTACCAGGCACAATTTTAAAGGTCTTGAAACCAGCTTTCATTTGAATATGGCATTACATATACCTAAATTAACTCAGAAAAAAGTTATAAGACAAAAATCGTCAAAAAAGGGCAAAAATTGGCCAAAAATCCAAAAAGTAGCCAACTTTGATCCAATGTATTTCGGTTTCTATTAGTCGTAGGTACTTCTATAAAGGCTTATTTTAAAGGAAAACACATTAACTTTTTTTCTGTGAAGCAATGCCTATTACCTAACTCCTCTCAGAAAAAAAGTTGTGGGCCAAAAACCAAAAAGAAAAAAAAACGCATTTTTCCGGGTTTTTTTTACTCGTTTTTTGGGCATATTTTTGTTAAGAATAATTTTTTTTTGTCTTAAAAAGGTCTCATTTCGATTGGAAATTCAATTTGCTACAACTTTTCTGTTAACAATTATTTAGAAAAAATTAATAGTTTTCGAGTAAAACTCAAAAAACTGAAAATACCACCTTTTTACTTCATTCTCAAAAACGCACCCCTTTAAAAGATAGCACTCCGCGGTTTCATCATTTTTTAGGGTCAATTGGACATATCAAACAATAAAATTTCTGTTAAGTTGTAGTTCCTATCTAAAGTACATAGTCAATAGCCTATATGCCCAATGGTTAACAACTCAGAATTTTTGCAAAGATGGTGATCACAATCTGCTTCTATTAAAAATAAGTTCTCTGAAGAATTTGCTAACGATAATACCCTCTTGGTTCAACTCAGTAAAATTAACAGTTTAGGAAATATTTGTGATTTTCCCACAGTGTAGATCGAGCGCCACCTTCATAGTTTTTTGTTTTTAATTTTTAATTACATATTTTTAAAATAAGAGCCTAGAAAATCTTACTGTCTGCTAATGTAATTTTCATTAACAAAATTTGACGAGCACACTTTACATATAACTCAAAATAGCAAAACAAAACAAGAATAAGTTCTTAATTCCTAATTCCCATAATTTACATTTATGGGATAAAGAGAATCCGCGCCGTACTGTACCAACAAAAGACCAGCACCGATTCATAATTAATGAATAGTGAGTAATAACTTAATAGGTTCATGTTTTTGAGGAACATCTCAATGGACATTGATATTTGGAGTTTTTGCAAAATAATCCATTAGACACCCGAAGATACGTTTGGTTCATGCATGATCGTCCTCCCCATTTCAATATTTATGTATGAAATTATTTATCCATTGTGTTTAATAATAAATGGATTGGGAGAGGAGGCCCAATTTATAGGCTACTACCACATTCTCCAGCCTTTAACCCGATCGACTTTTTCCTATGGGGATACCTGAAAAGTTTAGTGTACGCAACCTCAATACAGAAAAGGGATGAATTGCACAAAGAATTAATTTCCATTGTGATAATATTAGACATACCCCAGAAATGCTTTTTCGTGTACAAACAAATAATATTCATAGCCTTAGGAAGTGTGCCGAGGTGGAAGGTGTCCCTATTAAAAATGTATTTTGATAGTTTTCTTTTTTTTAATAATTTTTTTAACTTATTTAACTTATTCTTGTTTTGTTTTTCTATTTTGTGTAATGTTTAAAGAGTGTTTGTTAAATTTTGTTAGAGAAAATTACAATAGCAGACAGTAAGATTTTCAATGCTCTTTTTTTAAAAATATGTAGGTACCGTTCTAACATAGTAATTATGTCCAATTAAATATTAACAAAAAATGGTGAAGGCGCCGCTCGATGTGACAAAATTACAAATATTTCCTAAACTGTCACTTTTACCGAGTTGAACCAAGAGGGTATTATCGCTGGAAAATTCTTCAGGGAACTTATTTTTGATACAGGCAGATTGCAATCGCCATCTATGCAAAAATTCTGGGTTGTTAAATATTGGGCATAGTCCGTCTCTGGTGTTCTGGGCATAAAAAAGTTTCACTTACATCAAAAACGAGCTGTATGCATGTGTTATTCATCACCAAATTTACATAATGCTGAAGTTAATAGTTTAGAGACTGTAAATAAAAATAACTGTTTAATTTTTATCTTTGAGGGACTGTAACTTGTTAACGAAAATGAATATGAAAAAAAACTATATGAAAAACTGATATTATTTTGACCTCATCTATTTGTACTCGACTTTTTTGTCTCAACTACTGGGACACCCTGTATATGGGGTGTCTCAAAATTAATGCAACAAAATTTGGTCACAGATTCTTAAAACAAATTTAGGGGATCCGTATTTTTTATTTTTTCCAAGTGGCCCTCTCTTTCAGAGTTACAGCCCCCTGAAATCCGCCCCCTTTTTTTTATCTCAGAACCCTGTCATACGAGAATCACTAAATTTGGTACACAGTGGTTTTATGACATGTGAAAGCAGATAGTGTTACTCTTTCCATTTGAAAAAAAAAAAGTTTTTCAACTCGTAAGATTATTAAATGTAGGTCTCAGTATTTCCGAGTCTGAATAACGTACACGTTTTGCTCACAGATGACAAGATAGAGTAATTTATGCCAAAACGAACTGTGAAAACTGCAAGTTTCTAACGCTTACGGTTTAGACACTACAAGCTGAAATGATTTTTTTCTAAAACAACTGATTATCTCAAAAACGGTAAGTTTTAAACACCATGTACATTTAATAAACTCTATCTAATATTAACCAAGGAATTTAAAAATGCAATAATATACAGGGTTTTCCATTTAAAATAACAAAGTTATGTAGCGCCCATGCGAAATGGAACATCCTGTAAAGTTAAAAATATTTTTTTTACATGGCCCATATTATTCCAGGCAACTTTTATTAAAACCATTTTTTTTTATAAATTTTACAGTTGCAGAGTTGCAGAAGAATCCTTCTTAAGTGGAACACCCTGTATATAGGCATATTTTTTGTGGGATTAAACTGGGATTAAACCTATTTATTAAATGAAAACTTTTTTTCTATAAATATTTTATTCTTCAGTCACACTAAAAATTAAGATAGTTATACCTATCAATTTATAAAATAGTATACTCGTATGTTGTACAGGGCGATTCACTATACTTTGACCCCCCCCCTCCTTTAACTTTTTTGTTTTAAGAGTTATAAAAAATAAAAGTTGCACGAGTTTTTATGAATTTTTCGAAAATGATAGTAGAAAAACAAATGAAGTCCAAGCAAAATGGCCGCGGATGTTAACTTTGTTAAGTTAAATGGAACACTCTGTATGTTTTTACATATTTGGATAGAACATTCCCTATTGTTGGGTCCAT